TAATCATTCATTCATCCATTACCTAGTGTTGGTCCCTTCGACTGTCTTGAGAGTTTGTATTCTAGAAATAACACATGATTAGCATTCATTTTATAACTACTGGTTCGCCCTCCTCATCAGGACACAGCCATATTTGGCTGTTCCACAACGCCCCACATGCGTTTGGCACGGAGTAGACCCTTAGAAACTAGTCTTTGAATACTCTGGGCTCATCTTAATATCCCCGCCCCCCTTACCAGCTGCCGTCCCAAGGGGGTGCACCATTCCTGGAGGTACTGCAGTACTAGGCCGATGTGTGGAGTGAACAGAGTAAGCTCCTATATCATCCCCAGCTCTAAAAATCCATTTAATATCTTGTCGTCTGATACAGGTATCAGATAATAAACTGATAAGAACAGATACTCCTTAGCCCAAAGGCTGAGAAGCAAGCAGTCATCATCTCCTTACTTTTGTTAAGATAGATTCTTGAAGTGGAATTATTGTGTCACAGGATAAACTGAAAATTTGAAAGACTCAGAAAAAATTGCCCAAATACCACTTGACTTTCTCCTACGACTGTACCACTTTGTACCTTGGCTAGCAGTGTGGGCGAGTGCCTGGCTCGCGGTGACGCCTCCCCAGGGCCTACTGATCACATGCGCCACCTGCTGGACTCAGAGTGGAAAGGCATTTCTGGCATCCTTTTCATTTGCTTCCTAAAAGCTACTTTTGAGGCAGGCTATCTATATATTTTTGTATCTATTTGCCAAAGTAAGGACCCCTGTGCCATAACGGACTGTCAGGTCGGCAGTCCGTTGGGAGAAGGAAGAGGCTTTCTACTCCAGTAAAGAGTTACAGTCTTGGAAACGCACAGGGCAGTTCCACCCTGCCCTGTAAGGTTGCTATAAATCAGAACTGACTCCATGGCAGTGGCTTTGATTTTTGGTGTGGTATTAGCCAAGGTAAAATGCCTATGTTCTTTATCCATTTGTATACTGAGATAATATTCTTAGTGATCTTCCTGTTGATTGCCAAAGCTCTTTGTATTAAGTGTATCTATCCTTTATTGCTATATTTGAAATGTTCATTATTTATATATTTACATATATATATTTGTATGTGTATACACACACACACACACACACACACACACACACACACACTATTTTCCTCCCTCTGGGTATGTGGATGTTTTAAATTTCTCTGTGGAGGGCAAAGGGAAGGTAGGGTAGAAAGGGGGAATGATCACAATGATGTACATATAACCCCCTCCCCGGGGGATGGACAACAGAAAAGTGGGTGAAGGGAGACATTGGACAGTGTAAAACATGATAAAATAATAATTTATAAATTATCAAGGGTTCTTTTTTTTAATAGTTTTATTAGGGGCTCATACAACTCTTATCACAATCCATACATACATCAATTGTGTAAAGCACATTTGTACATTCATTGC